GAACCGTCCCTCCTGTCTGTACCTGCTTCTATTGCAGCTGGATTTTTGTTTTGCTTTTAACACCCTGAGCCCAGATGTGAGGCAGCACCAGGGCAGCGTAGCTGGCACGGGACCGGCACCGAGCTCCTCATGGCCCTGCCTGACCCACCCAGGGCAGCGGGATGCTCGGAGGTGGATGCCAGGTTGCCCAGTCACTGCATCGTGCTGTGCCATGGGTGTCTGGCCCCACTGCCTCCCAGCAGGAGAGCCAGCACCTCGCCAGTGCTGCCGCTTACCGGGGCAGCAGCGCTTTGTAGGCGTTAACTTTCCCTTCATTACATCAGGCCTCTTGCGCATCTTTCCTGGCAGGACCTGTTTGCCTGGGGATGACTCGGATGCATCAGCATCACCCACGGGTGACAGGCAGAGCCGGGTGCTCACAAAGACCCCTTCAGCCTCCTTCGAACCCACCTTTTATTTTGAGGAGGAGGATGGGCAGAACCCCAGCACTGGTCTGAATGCTGGTGGGGCTTCGTCCCTGAGGGGCCCCTGTGTGGTCAGAGCAGGCAGGAGCATGCTGCCGCTCCGGGGAGCGAGCCAGGGCACGCAGGCATGGCTTGCACCCTGGTTGTGCAATGGCTACCGGTCCTTTTGGTGCCAGCCCCAGGGTGAAGAAGAGGAGAGCCTTCCTTCTGCTCCCCAGCTGAGGAGGAGGAGGTGACTCTGTGGCGCGGGGGAGGGACCTGCCATAGCACACAGGGCTATGGCATCTCACTGGTGGCACCAGTCCTTCCCAGTCCAGGTGCTGCCGGCAAGGTGGGATCCGAGCCCCGTGTCCACCTCCCTGACCTGGAAGACGGGGAAGCCTCCGGCCACAGCGTGGTGCTCGGGCATCTGTGGGCAGGGGAGTTGGAGGTGTGTGGACATTTCAGAAAGGGGAGGAGAGGTGCTGGGGTGTTGCATCAGCCCGGCTTTCTTAAGCATCCTTCCTGCTGCCGGTGAGGTTGTGGTGCAAGCAATTGAGGTGGAAAGCATGGGCTTATTTCTCAGGGGATGGAGAAGCTGTCTCTCTCTCTCTTAAAGCTAAATTTTCTTCCAAAGCACCTGCGGGGAGGAGGCAAAACCATAATTTGACCACCCTCAGGCATCCCACCTCCCCTGGGGTTTCAGGACGTCTGGCTGAAAGACAGAGTGTGCAAAGCTGAAAATAGCAGTGGGGACCCTTACAGAGTGAGGGGTGGTGGTCCACAGCATTAGCTCACGCTGGCACTCTGCCTGCAGTAAAACTGATGCCTGCTCAAGTCCAGTCCGGCTGGAAATATCCCCTGCCCTGCTCGCTCCCCTGGGGTGAGGGGCTGCCTCGGGGTTGGGTAGCACAGCCCCTGTACCAGTGGGATGAGTCTTGAAATCCGGCTAGCCCGGGAAAGGGGGTAGGAGCTCAGCCAGCAAGGAGTGCCCGCTGTTGGGAAACAGCACCCAGGCCCTGCCTCGGCATCACCAACGCAGCACAGAGTAAAGTCCTGTCTGCCCCGGCAAGGTGACCCCAGTCCTCCTTGCATCCCAGCTCCTCCTGCGGCTGCCGGGGGTGGTTATGCCCAACAGGGATGTAGTGCCCTTGCAGTGCCCGAGGGAATCGCATCCCTCTCAGGGCAGCAGAGAGAGCATCCATCGAGGAGCCCCACTTGTGCCACGGCTGCCAGGGGAAAACGCTTCCTTGCTGCAAGCGGCACAGCTGGAAACCCCAGCGGGCATTGCTGTGCTGGGGCTGCTGGTCGCGCCGTACCCTGCTGCCGGGTTAATGGGTAACTCAAGGTGACAAAGCGGGAGAAAAGGCATGTTT